ATGCAAAAGCAAAAAAAAAAAGTCAAGTTGAGTCTTAAATGGGTGTCTACGTCTTTGCACAATTTCTGTTTCACAAAAAATATGCAAAGAGAGGCAGCTGTGGACACCTTATTTTGTCTAGGGTTCTTTGTCAATCGAGACTAATCTAAGCTCGGTTGTAGGGATTTTTATTCATTTTTATTTTAGATTTTTCTATTTTTGTATTTATCATTTTTATTTTTTTTTTATGGTCTATCTATTGTTTAATTTCTTTTTCTTTTTCCATTATCTGATTAATTTTAAAAAAAAAGGAAAAGCTAAAAGAATGAGATTAGGATTGGTGTTAATCTTTTGATTTGGATGCTAATTAGAATTGAATTGAAACTCTATCAGCATGGATTTATATATCAATAATGAATATACAAGAATTGAGAGAAAAACAGAAGAAAAACAAAGGGGGAAGCCCCCGTCGCCACTAGGCCCTCAAGGCCTCTTTTTGGTGGGAAACCTTTCTTTCCTTGACCCTGACCTTCACTCTTATTGGGCTGTATTAGCTCATACCTATGATCTAGTTGTGAAACTCCAACTTAGGAGCACAGATTGGGTGACGCGAAAGGCAGCTGCTGATGCTTTGAGTGCTTTGGCACTACATTCAAGCAACTTGATTACAGATAGAGCAGCTTCAACGACAGTACTGGAGGGTTACCACTTTGACAGGATGAAACCTGTTAGAGATAGCATGACAGAAGCATTGCAATTATGGAATAAGATTGTAGGAAAATGGAAAGATGGAACTGCAGATGACCAGAAAAGAGCTTGAGCAGACTTTCTTTGCCAGTGCCGTCAATACCATAGCTGTATCACTAAATTTTAACTCCTTTGTCATTGCCATCACCAATCAACTAGATACAAATTACAATATCCAGTTTTTCATCAATTTTCAGCCATCATACTCAGACCCTAATAGAGCCCCATTTTAAGCTAACAAATCCAAGAATATACAAAGATTAAACAAAAAATTAGATGCATAAAATAGAGTAAAAACCAAACATAGTGAAATCATAGCAAGCATCAATCAGTTTCTACTCGTCTACTGTCAGTCGAATCATCCCTTCATCTCTACCAAGACACTAATAATTCAACTCCTACCAAACAGCCCAGAACCTATAATCAGACCAAAAAAAGAGGTTAAAAAAATATCGTTCATCACCAAACCCATTAATCATTGAATCTAACACACATTTAATAGAGAGAACTAAAAGAGAAGCCAGCCACCAAACCACGTGCGGATAATGGAAGCACTAATCCTCACCACCAGAGCCATATCCATTTCTAGTTGCCTCTAGCACCAAAACAGAGTCACACAAGTAGTCAAAAAAATGGAACAAAAAAGAGATTTTCTCTTTAAGATTCTCAATCGAAGTTGATCTAGTTTGTTTTGAAGCTTCAAAATTTGTGAGGAGGCAGCTAAGAAGAAAGGGGAAAGCATACCTAGCAGTGGTGGCCATCAGAGCTACAAAGAACAGAGAGAAAATCATGATTTTGGACTCAGATTTGTAGAATCCCGTTAGTTTTTGAAAAATCCAATTGGAACACGTTAAAGAGAAGACAAAAAAAATTGTTTCGTAAAATTTAGAGCCCAACTAGTGCTGGTGGGGTAACGGCCTAAATTTTGGAAGCCTTGAAAAACTGCCCGGTGTTTACTTGAATGCTAGAGAGAAGTGTAGAGGAGATAAATGTGTAGAGAGAAAAGGAAGTTGAAAAATGAAAGAAAAACAAAGAAAAATGGCTTTTATAGTAACCACAAATGGTGTCGTTTTGGGAACGGATCTCTTGAAAGATTTACGTGTCGCTCCATTTAAAGGATCCAACCTGGTCGCGACCCACTGTAGCCTTTAATTTAGAGATGTTATGTTAAGTTTTCGAAGCCGAGCCGAGCCGCATCTTCGAGTTTTCTTTTTTTTCTTAAGTTGCGTCGAATCGAACAGTTAAGTCGAGCCGTTTTCAGGTTTATTTATTTATTTATTATTATTATTATTATTTATTAGATTAGAATTGTTCAATACTTTTTATTTTATTTTATTTTTATTTTTATTTTTATTTTATTTTATTTTCTTTAAATAAAATTCAAAAAAAAAATATTTTTGAGGAAAAGTTGAAAGTATCAATTTTCCTTTAAAATAAGTTTTTCAAAAAAATATTTTTGAGGAAACGTTGAAAGTATCAATTTTTCTTGAAAATAAGCTTTCTAAAAAATATTTTTGAAGAAAAGTTGAAAGTATCAATTTTTTTTGAAAATAAGCTTTTTAAAAAATATTTTGAGGAAAAGTTGAAAGTATCAATTTTCTTTGAAAATAAGCTTTCTAAAAAAATATTTTTGAAGAAAAGTTAAAAGTATCAATTTTCCTTAAAAATAAGTTTTTAAAAATCTTTTTTGGGGAAAAGTTGAAAGTATCAATTTTCCTCGAAATTAAAGTTTCTAAAAAATATTTTGGGGAAAAGTTGAAAGTTTCAATTTTCCCTGTACAAAAGCAATCATTTTTTTTATTTTCTTGAATTTTCTTTAATGTTAAATAATCCGATGATGGAGCCTCTGCAAGTGAAACAGTAGTTTTTTTGCATACTCTTAAGGTGAGGAAATTTTTTCAATTTTTTGCTAAAGTATTAAAGTCAATTGAGAATATTTTCAATAATTAATTACTTGGTAAAATTTTTAAGGCTTTTTGAATAACACAAAATTAACCTGGTACCATCTTTCGATGGACGTTGTGAGGGTGCTACAACCTTTCTCATACGTAACCGTACTTTCGAACCCTGTTTTGGTTAGTAGACTTGAACATATTTTTTAGGGACCCTTAGGTTCAGGTGTTCTTTGAAAAGATAGATTCTTTAGGTGGCCAATCGCATCTAGATAAAAAAGATTGATGGCGATTTCTTCAAATCAATGTCTAGCGATGGATCCTCGAATCTAGACGTTATGACACAAATATTTTGATTTTACCTGGGATGGATAAATGCCATAGTCTGTTCCAACTAATCATATTGTCATTGCCTGTCATCTCCTTTCCTTCCCTGTATGGTGATCTTCTTGTGTTTTCCTTTAAGACTAGTTAATGGTATTCACTTCGCACACTATAGTGTCCAAATTTTGTATAATGCCAAACCTGTATGTCTAGTAGCCTTTTGTTGCTTACTGGAATTGCCATGATTTCAATAACAGTTTCTGCTGAAAACCGTTCCCTCAGTTTGTCTAATCCCAGTAGTTATGAAAACTATTTATTAGAGAGCTGACCCTCTTTATTATTAATTCGTAGGCCCCTTTGGTTTAGGTATAAATCGGCCCTCCTGTGGGATCCATTTGTCAGTCCATACATTGACAATTTCTTCATTACCCATCCTCCACCTAGTCCCTAGGTGTAATACCTCTTTTCCCATCCAGATGTTCCTCCATGCGTATGATGGTGTATTCCCCAATTCAGACTCAAGGAAAGATGTTTTTAGGAAGTACTTGGCTTTGATGACTTTATACATGACTGACGTGTTATTATGTAGAAGTCACTAGCCTTGTTTTACAAGTAAAGCTTTGTTGAAACACTCCATCTCCTTAAATCCCATACCACTAACCTTTTTTGCCATGCACATATGCTTCCATGATTTCCAGTGTATAGTGTCACCATTAGAATTTACTAATGATTATGTTGATATCATGGCATAAGCCCTTTGAGAACATGAAACAGGACATTGTGTAGGAAGACATCGGCTGTAATATCAGTTTAACAAAAACATCCTTTCCTTCTTGGGACAGCTTTCTATAGCTCTATTTTTTTATTTTCCTTTTCATATTCTTCAATATTCCTCTGAAGGCCCCTTTTTCCCTCTCCCAATGAACATAAGTAGCCTTGAGTATCTCTCCGAGTTTGTTGTGATTTGTATCCTGAAACTATTCTTTACCTTTTCCTTAGCCTCATCACTGGTATTTGTACTGAAGAATAAACTAGATTTGTCATAGTTAATCTGTTGCTCAGAACCTTCTTCATACATCCTTAGCAAGTCTCTCACTCTTCTGCGCTCCTATTGGTTTGTCTTAAAGAAAAGCAAACTATCATTTGCAAAGAACAAGGGAGTAATTTTGGGCCTCGGACACTTGCCCGAACTCCTGCAACAAACCCTCCCTTTGCTTTTTAGAGAGCAATGAATAAACCTTCAATGCATATAAAAAATAGGGTTGGGGAAAGTGGATCCCCTTGTCTGAGCCCTCTCTCCGAATATATTGTTTCTGACACAAAAACATTAGTCACCATAGTTACAGATTTAATGCAGTTCATTATAAGTGTTCTCCATGTTCTGTTAAAGCCCATTTGTCCCATCACTACATCTATAAAAGGCCACTTCACTCTATTGTAGGCCTTGATCATATCTAATTTGAGAGCGCAACACCCTCCCTACCTTTTTTCTTTTGCTTCATTGCATGTCGTAGCTCATAGGCTGTACTAACATTATCAGATATCAGGCGGCCCGGGACAAAAGCACTCCTATTCTCACTTATGCAATATGGTAGAAACCGTTTTAGTCTATTTGCTAATGTCTTAGCAATTATTTTGTACAACACATTGCATAAGCTAATGGGGCAATATTGAGATATTCCTTTAGGGGCATGGGTTTTTGGGATAAGAACTATGTATGTGTCATTAATACCCTCTAGTTCTCTTCCTCCATTTAGGATATTAAGACAGAATTTAGTAATATCTAACTTTATAATTTCTCAATATTTTTGAAAAAATAAAGCAAGCATACCATCAGGTCCTAGGGCCTTTGTGTGATGTATCTATTTCACAGTTGTGTAGATTTCCTCCGCTGTGAATTTGGACAATAGCCATTCATTAATTTCATTCGTAACACATGGTGATATTGTCTCTAAGACTCTTTCTAAGTTTGTTGCGCCCTGAGTTTTAAATAGCTCTCTAAAATACCTTATGGCTTGATTGGATATCTGTCCTTCCCCTTTATGCCATACTCCATCATCATCCTCCACCCCATATATTCTGTTTGTACGTTTTCTTTTTTGTCTTCTGTGCATGAATAAACTTTGTGTTCCTATCGCCTTCCGGTAGCCAATTTGTTCTTGCACGTTGTTTCCAGAAAACCTCTTCTTGTTCTAGTAGTCGGTTCAAGTTGTCCTTTAGTTCCACTTCCCTTGCCAAAGTCTCTCCACTTATTCCCCGATTCGGTAGCTTGCTTAAGTCGTCAAATAACTTTTCAATTTTTGTGCTGAGATCATGGAACTTACTTTTACTCCATACTCTAAGCCCGCCAAATATGTCTTCTATTATGTTTCATGGTACATTGTCCTTCACTTCTGCCCAACTTTTTTCAATAATCTTTATACACTCTGGTTCAACTGTCCACATAGCCTCAAACTGTTTTCTTGTCCTTTTGCGTCTACACTGCCAACTTGGTTTTGTCCCCACTGTGTCCACAATAATGGGGCTAAGGTCTGATACGGGACATGCCAAGTGTTTCACTATATGATGTGAAAAAAGCTCACTCCATGCAATTGTGGCCATTGACCTATCAAGCCTTTCACGAATCTGGTTTTGTTTCGTCCTCCCTCTTTCCCATGTGTAGCACGGTCCTTGATAACCCAAGTCATGCAGACCAATCTCCTCTAGCACCGTTCTGAACTCCTCCATTTGCCCTTCCAGCCTTGCCCCACCCCTTCATTTTCATTACTCTACATTATGTCATTAAAGTCCCCCAGGCACAGCCGTGCATGATTGTTTTGTTCCCCTAAAACCCTTAACAGATCCCATGCAGCTCATTTATCCCTAGTAGCTAGCTCACCATAAAGCCCGATCATCCTTTACGTTTACCCCTCTGCATCTGTCACGTCAATATCAATTTGGTGTTTTAAAAAACTATGTAGATTCAATGATATCTCATCTTCCATAACATTACTAGCCCTCCACTCCTTCCTTTCGTTTCTACACTAAACATCCCTTGCATTCTAAATTATTTTCTGATTCTTTTTATACAATAATCGTACTGTAGCACGTATAGTTTAGTGATAAAAGTGTGATTCGTTCTATGAATCTCCTTAATAGTTAAGGGATCCTTCAGTTTGATTGATATTTTGAATAAAAACTTTATTTCTTAAAAGAATTTAATCATTTACCTCTCAATGAAAGATTTAAGGAAGATATACATTCTCGTGATTTGTATCCAAAGTCCAATTAAATTCTATAATTATTTCTAAATTGAAAAATTAGATTATGAAATTACAAAACATAATTTTTTTTTATAATCGATTTCAATATATTTCGATATTTCAATATATTTCAATATATATATTGAAATATATAGAATATTTATATATTCTATATAAATTATTCTATTTCTATATAAATAATAATATTATAATTTTAGATAATTATCTAATTATTATATTTATACTTATATATTTGTTAATTTATATTTTTATTAGAATATTAGAATTTATAATTCTAATTTTATTTAAAATTTTCTATTTAAATTAAATTTAAGTAAGATTAAATTTAAGTAAGTTAGAATTTTATATTTATAATTGTTCTTGAAGTCGAAAACGTTCCATTTGTTCCTGAATAGCGTCTTTCAAAAGCGCTGAAGAGCTCGAATTGCTCGTGGGTTCCCAAGCCCACGGCAGTTCAAGGTGAGCATCTCATTAGTCTAGGTGGGACTAGTAACCAATCACTGCCGTTTTACTTTTGTCAATTCCCTTATTTGCCTCATCGTCTCCCTTACTCTTTTTTCCAACATTGTCAACCTCCATATCATCAGTACTTTCATTTACATACTTCCTTTTCCCGATTCCAACGCTCACTCCATTCCTTATTTCCATTGTTTCACATGCAAATCTCTTCCAGTTTGTGTGTTGGTGCTTATTATTTTCTGTTGAATTAATCTGGGTTATCTGCTATGATTTCTTATTCCCATGCAAGTTTCCCCTATAGGCAGGATCCCTCGCTACTACCTCTATACCTTCTTTATATGGCATTTTTTTTAATCCTTTTACAAAACGTGGGCCTTTGTGCATGCGGTTAAGATCAAATCTCCTTTACTCTCTAGCTTGTCCATACCATCACGATTTCCTCGTGTGCCCATTATGAGTGCTCCTGTGGCCCTAATCCATTTTCATCCATCTGTGATCCATTTCCTTGGTCCATTCCTCCACCTAAACCTCCTTGACTTTTAGAGTTCAAACTGTGGCTCCACAAATCACTTTGCTCTACGTGCAATTCGCCAGATAATCTGCAACTTTCACCTAGCCTATCCCGAAAATCATGCAATTGATGATTATCGTGATTACTTGCTATATTCATCCTCCAGGCCACCCCTTCACCGGTCACCACCATTGTGTACGTATTATCGCTTCCCGAAGCACCCTCTTGCATATGCTGCCTATTTGTTGTCGTTACTCTCTCCAAAAAGTTTGTTTATTCATTACCGGTATGTTTATTCATTACCGGTAAGGCTCTAAGCCAACCCCCATACTGTCTGGCCATCGGATTGGCTTTTCCCTCCTCCTCTCCTCACTTTTCACAATCATTTTCGACATGCTCTAGCCTCCCATATATGTAGCAGAAACTAGGGATAACTCTCCTCTTGTTCGCAACTGAGGAAAATTTAGACAAGAATAGATAATCTTCCAATTCTACAATATCAACTTCAGCATTGTCTTTATTGCCTCTTTGTTAAAGGGTCGTTGTGTAAGCAATTTACCTACCATCCATGCCTCCCTTCCTTCTACCTTGTTTCCTATGTCTACTGTGGTTGTTTCGACCCCTTCCTTCTCTTCTTCTGTTAGATGTAAATTTTGCTAGAGATCATCCAGATCCTCATCTCTACTCATAATGATCCTTTGTTGTTATTGACTCGCCTTACTCGATTTGTACTATGGTTATTCCTCAAAGACCACCTTCTATGCAGCCTTGAGATCTATTCACTTGTATGAATAGTTGAATTTATTTATTATAAGCAAAATGAGGGCATAATTTCAACAAAGCTTAACCAATACCATAGGACCATTTTAGCCCTAATTATTGGCTTAGCTTAAGAATGTAGAGATGAAACAATTGCTTTGACATTCACCAATGTTTTAGCTTGTCTTTGTTTCAATCAATCATTGTTAATAGCCCACTTTTTTGGCATTTATGTACCCTAACCTAAAGGATATACCATCATCGGTTTTTTAGGTTTTTTTTTTTTTTTCTTTGTCATAAACTATATATTTTTTATCAATAAGCTTATATATTTATGTTAACAATTTAAAAAATTCATCAATTTAAACTTTAGATAAGAAATTTACTTATTTATGATAAAATAATATTATATTACATTTATTTTTACATTTTATTACATTTATAATTTTATAACTTTTTTAATTGATTATGAAACTTTTTCCTCATCCTACATCTAACATTACCAATTTTTATTATTTTTTCACACATTTCAGATAACATTGTTAATATTTTTAATATCGAATTTTATTCATTTACTTTTATATTTTTTTATTATTTTAAGATAAACGATATGTTTTTATAATTGGAGTTACATATGCTAACATTTGAATAATGTCAGTTAATTTGAAATTTGCATAAACAACTTACTTTTTTACATTAAAATAATATGAAAATTACACTTATTTTTATCCTTCGTTATGTTTATAACTTTTATAATTTATTTTGGTTGATTACAACTGTTTTTATCCATTTTAAGTCAAATGATATATTTTTATTTTGCTTCTTATGCATTAACATTAAAATAATAAAAAAATTAAACTTTTTTTTATCCTTCGTTATGTTTATAATTTTTATAATTTATTTTGATTGACTACGTATAATAGTTTTTATCCATTTTAAGTCAAATGATATATTTTTAATTTTTCTTCTTATGTGTTTACGTTAATATTTAAATTTTATTTTTAAAATTTAAATTTTTATTCTTGTATGTTCCTATTGGTTTGTTCCTTTTTATCATACACTATGTGTTTTTTACAATATTGGACTTAATTTGTTAGACCAACATTTGAAGAAAGCCAATTCTTTTAAACTTAATGTTGCCGACTTATTTATTTAATTTTTTATGTTAAAATAATATCTTATTATGCTTTCTTACCTTTCATTATGTTTATAATTTTTTTTTTTTGTTTTACAATACTGATCTTTACCTATTTTATGTTAAATGTATTACTTATTTTAATTCTTGTTTACAATGGATTTATAACATGCAACATTTATGTTTATCTTTTTTTTTTTTGTTGAAATAATAGTTGTTGAAATGAATTAATAAAAATACATAAAAAGTTCAATTTTTTATGGTAAAAGATATAGAAATTTTCTTCAACTATAAAAGAGGAAAAACACAAAAACTTAAAATCAGTATAAAAGAAAACTCACGTACAAACAAATTTCTAATAAATTAAAAACAATTTAATATTGCCTAAGAGATAAACTATTTCTAATTTCTTTCAAGGCAGAAATTTCAGATTATGAAATACACTTTGAATTTTCTAGTTTAAGCCGAATTCTCTATTTTGTATTTTGTATTTTTTTGCTTTTATTTTATTTTTATTATTCTGTAAGAAAAAGAAATAAACTTTTATGTAGTTTGATTCAATCTGGATCTTTATTTTATTTTTTATTTAAAAAGTGTTTTACTTGATAATATGTTGTGACCCATTTTTTTAAAAAAGATATTTGAAGATTTAATTTTTTTGTTTTACAAAAGAAATCCTAATTTGAAATAAGTGAAAAGTTACAAGTACTATGATTTGAATTTTAAATTTATTGAACATCACTTCTTAAAAATTATTATATAAACAAATTAAATTAAATTTTAAGCTCATGGTCTAAAGCTTAAACATATGTATCTAATGGCAAATATATGCTTACCTAACTTATTATGAGCAAATATTATTTACTTACTATAAAAGTCCTCACATTTATGGGGTTTAAAAACTCAATGGGTGTGTATAAGATAATTTTTTTAATTATTAGTCAATTTTCAATAAAAAATATATTTAGATCTATCTTATATAAATATATGAAAGTTAAAGATTTTAGCATAAAAAGAAATAATCCTATGTGGATAAATTACATTTTTGACCTGTGGAATGTCATAGGTAAATGTTATGTGTCATATAATTAATGAATTTGATTATATAATTAATTTTAAAATAATTTATTATGGCTAAATTAATTTCTTTAAATATCAATATTCTTATCTCTTATAAATTAGCAATAATTAATTTGATCATTAATTCAAAAAATCAAAATTTAAATAAAAAACTAATTAATCATGAATAATTTTGCATATTTACTAATTATTATTTATGATTATCTAAACATATTAACAATCACACACGCACACACAGACATATATATATAAGCACACATGCACACAATATAGTTTCAGTATCTTAACTTGAAAAAACAACAAAATAATTCTATGTATTTAGGGTAATATTTTATACATGAATAGTGTCTAATGATGTATGTATTTTTATCATAACCGGCAATTCAAATTTCAAAATTAAAATTACAAATTAATTTAATTTTTAATATCTTTTTAATTATCATCCAAAAAATAAAAAGTATTTTTAGGTATTCAATGGCTTTAATTTTATTTTATTTTTAAATTTTAAGTATGAATATTT